ACTTTGGGTCGGATAGGGTGGCATGAAAAAATGACCCAAACCATTGACACCCCTTAGATATAAGGAGTTACGATCTATTAGTGAAAGATGGATTATGGATATGGTCACTGTGACTCTTTTTCAACCACGTTACAATGCAGTTGGCATTGGACGCGGGCGGGCCAGTAGTCTCGTGCTTGCCTGTCTTTGACAAGATCACGAGTTCGTTCATGATTTAAAGCGCGATCTCAACAACCAGCTATACGTCATGATTTATGCAAGTGATCTGGTCCAAATAGTCACCACCTTAATTACTCCTTTTGGAATGCCAATTAAGACGTAAATGTCTGTTGTTCGTGTGTCACGGACGCGGGGGCTGGGGTGTTCTCAAGGCATAAAAGGCCGAAGAGGTAGCCAAGATGACCGGGGCACGCCTTGAAGCTTTACAAGAGTTCGAAATTTTTTTAAAAGGCGTTTGTCCCGTAAGGTTACGTTCTTCTTAGGACGGATTTGGAATTTGAAAAATTTGTCCATCTATGTGGTGGTTTGTATGGGAAAAGCATGTTTGACCCCACAAATATTTGGTTTTTGAGCCATGTCCGGTTGATATCTCACAAAAGAATCTCTCTCTCTCTCTCTCTCTCTCATGCTCTCTCTCTCTCTCTCTCTCTCTCTCTCTCTCTCTCTCTCTCTCTCTCTCATGAAACTATATTTTTCAGATAATTGTATAGATATAATATTTAAAGTTAATTTAGAAGTGAAATGGAAAAGATAGTTATGGGCTTGAAAATGGCCTTTTTTGTAAACAAAAATTATCACGGTACTTTATAAAATCAAGTTTTTGTAAATGGTCCCCGTTTGGTTCAGTTTTCCCAAGGGGCTTTCTACCTTTAAAGCCCCTTAGGGAAATGCTGAGGCGTTTGGCAAGTATTCTTAATAAGCTTTCGGACGAAAGCTAGCATTGGGTATGTTGAAACTAATTTTTTTTTCCCAAACTACCTTCACTAATTCTTTAATATTCTGGTTTTGCCCCTCGTTGTTATTGTTCATCTTCTTTGTGCAAAGGCTGCCGACCAAAGCCGACGAGGACAGATCGGGACATCGAGAGGCCTACGAGGGGTTGGTGAGGTCACACGACCCTAGAGATGGCTGCCTGAGGTTGCGCGACCCTCACCGACGATTGGACGACCTCGGGTGATGGCCGTCGATGCCAAATTTGGCTCGCCAGTGGCCATGGCCCTTCGCTGGGTCCGGTGAAGGGTTTGCTTTTTTTTCTTAATAAAAAAAAAACCCAAAGCCCTTGGCAAATTTTTTTTTGCCAAACACTACTTGGTCCAAAGTAACTTTACAAATGATTTTTTTACCAAATGCTATTTGCATTTCCCCAAGAGGCTTTAAATTAAAGGTATTTGCATTTTACCAATGGTCATTTGCAAAACTGAACCAAACGGGGCCTTTAGTCTTGTAAGGTTTCCTTCTTCTTCTTTTTTTCTTCCTTTTCTCATTATTTCTTTTATAGCTTTTATGTAAATAAACAAAATGCATTCATAATTATAATTAGGAGTTTTTTTTTTTTATGAAAAACCATTTTGGGAAATTGTTTTCGGGAGTTTCCAGCATTTGAGTGACGGAAGACTAGTCAATAGACGATAAGCTTAGATTGGGAAAAATGATTTCCCTTTCTGGCAAGAAGGAAATCATTTTTCCTAACTTTTTGCGGTGCGTGCAAGTGAGAAGGATATGTCCTGCTATGTCTATTTGTTATCTGTTATCAAATTTTTTTCTTGTAAGAATCATATGTTTTTTCATAAATCTTGTCTACCATATATTCGATATACTTCATTAATGCTTATATTTTTCTACATTGCCGAAAAGCTTGTAATACAAAATAAACAAAGAAAATGTTGATTTTAGTTTGTTAATCTGTACATGTTATTTTTGACCATACAAGCTGCTTATAGTGGATTCACTTATAGTCACATACCATAGAACCGGTTTTTTTAAACTTATTTTCGGCGCATATAAACTTAAATAGAATTTTTTGTAATATTTTCTAACGACAAGAAGTTTTGATCGAAACAAACAAATCTTAAGTTTCACTTCTTACTCTTAGGGTGCGTACGGTAACATTTTTGTTCCCGAGAACAATTTTTGTTCAGAAATAGTTTTTTCTATTTCTATTCACTGAACTAGTTTCTGAGTAGAAGAACGCGTTTGGTAACTGCACAAAATTTCTATTCTAATAAAAAAAGAACAAAATAATATTTGGTACGGCCCTAAAAATTTTGTGACGTGGATTTTTTTTAGTTTTTTAATAATTTTTTGAGATTTTTCTAACTTTTCTAATTTTTTCTTTTCTTTTTTTCCTCTCCTGTTCTTCCCCCTCTAGCCGGTCGTTGGACCTCGGTGAAGGCCAACAACTGACCAGAGATGAGGGCTAGTGAGATCGACTTCGCCTAGCCACCGCGAGGTCGGCTTTGCCCAACCATGGTGAGGCTGACCTCGTCGGCCATCGTCGAGGCTCGTCGATCGGCTAGAGGAGGAAGAAAAAGGAAAGAAAAAAAGAAAAAAAAGAAAAAAAAAAGAAAATGACCTTATTTCAGAAATTGTTTCCCAGAACAAAAAAGTAGATTTTTTTTTTTACTTCTTGTTTTTGTTCCAAATCTATTCCCTAGCTACTTTGGGGAATAGAAAAATTAACTGACGTACACAAACAGATTTTTTTTTTTCTATTCCGGGGAACAGAAGAGCAGAAAAATAGAGAAATAAAAACGTTACCAAACGCGCCTCTCCCCCTCAAATATTTAGGTTAAATTTACTTACATTGCATCCCTCGGCCAAATGGCCTACCTCCATCCGGCTCCATGGTCATCTGCCATGGCCAACCTCGAATTTTCGAATTTTGACGCCATCGACCTTTGACCTTACATTGGAGGTCCGAAGGTGGCCCGGTCTGAGGTGGCGAAATCGGAGGCCATGGCCCCTAATATGGGGTTCAGTTGCGGCGACAGCATTAGAGAGAGAGAGAGAGAGAGAGAGAGAGAGAGAGAGAGAGAGAGAGAGAGAGAGAGAGAGAGACTGAATTACACTGTTGCTGTTGGGCAACAGCAAATAAAGAAATTGTGAGTGGCCGCATGATGCTTCGCATTAACGTACACTGGATGCTAAAACTAGGTATGCTATCGCTTTCACCTCAGTTGGTTGTCCCCAGCAAAATCCGAAACCCAGAGAGGTGTCAAGCAATATTGTCATCACGAAGCGAACATCACTTGATCTCTTGGTGGCTTTCCTTGTAATTTGTAGTTCTACCCCACTATCTTCCTCTGAGAGATTCCCTTTAAGGAGGCCAACAGAGTGCTGGACCACGAGAGAGAGAGAGAGAGAGAGAGAGAGAGAGAGATGTGAAATATCCCAGGAATAATTCTTGTTTTCTGCTAATACATTTAAAGGGAACTTTGGATATAAAGATTGCGGAAGGATCTCAGCGCTCCTACTTCACCTGTTCACTTTCCGGAGTCGCGACCACGGCACTGCGGTCACTAGCCTAAGCAGTATGACCCCTGCAAAGTGGTGGTCACCGCTGTACAACCACAATCACGTCACAGTGGCTGCACTTTTAGATAGCCGTTCTGATGTCCTATACGACAGCATCTCATCTCCCCATATGCACGCATGGCAATTGCTCCTATCTTGGGGCTCCTCCACTTCGGCTCAATGCTATTCAAGCCCTCGTGAGACTATGTTTCCATGCGTTGGAGGCGAATAACAATGATGGGGAAGTTGGAAAATGCGAGAGGAAAGTGACCCACTTCACCCACCAAATTCCTCGAAGTTAATCCTTTCAATCTCCCACTAGATTGGACCGTCAGTCTTGAGGATCTTAAGGCTTTGACATTTTCTTGGGAGACCTGTCTTTAGTTTTGAGACAATCCCTAAGTAAAGAAACTGATGGATTAGATGGAGAAATTCAACTTGATATTTCAATATATTATATCGTGACAAATCTCGATTTGAAAATGAGTTATTGCTTGTAGTATATTCCACTCATATATATAATTTATTTTATAAAGACTGTTGGTGGAACGAATTTTCTCGTGTGATGAAGAATGAGATCAGCATGATGTGAACTAGAGTAACAATGCAATAGGATAAGGACCACTTATCAAATGAGCAGTTCCTCATCTGGAGCTACTTTATCATATTTTGAATTTAGTAGATTCAGTAATACCTTAGTGGCGGGTAACTCTTTATATCTTTACTGTACCTTCCTTATGACGAAAACCCTAATTTCACATCATCAATTCATCTTCCTGCACCGAAAATCCTTATTCCAATCACCAACCAGAATGCAACTACTATACCCCAATCTATGCCCTGCGTTGAGCTGCCACTGATCTAACCTTACGATGATCTAATGCCTCCAAACCTGCCATCGTTGGCAGCACTTCAACTTATGCCCTCTCTCTCTCTCTCTCTCTCTCTCTCTCTCTCTCTCTCTCTCTCAATAGAAGTCACAACCTTATAATTAGGCACCCTTTGGTGTAAAGTCCTGAACTTGACTATCTAGTCTCAGGTCATGATGGTCTTCAACGATGAGTAGCAACGTCGATGGGTCGTAGTTTAGTACTTCACAATCAGTTTAGAAGAAGGGAAAACGAGAAAGGAAAAAAGAGATGAATGCATCTTAGGCGCAAATTGTGGGAAGTGGATATTTTCCTTTTCGTAACTGATTGTGAAAGGTATACTTCACGCTCGCAGTGTTTCAAACAATTGATGATGGTCATTCACCCTGCAAATGGGGATATTCCAACCTGATGCAAGAACGCCACTATGAATTCATTTGTTCTATAATCGTTGACTTGTGAAAGGAAGAGGAACTCAGCAATGCTCCCCTCCAAGAATTTTCAGATTATATGTGAGGGAGAACATACCTAATTATGCTCAGCAACGTATCTGTGTATCTATATACGGGCAAAAAACACGTGTTGCATGACACGAGACAAATTCAACACCTCGCTTACTATTCTTAACTTTGTCTTTTAATCGTAGAGAGAGATTAACGAAAAATTACATGGCGAGAATGACTCCTGTCCATTCAATAACAGAATACAAATACATATGCAATAGACACAATATTTTCAACCAAGAGTTGAAAACAGCTATAAAGACCAAATTTATTTTCTCACGACACCTTCACCGACTACCTATCTAGCGTTAAGGTAATAATAGGTGAAGCCACTGGGGTTCTTCAAACCCCCAAACGACCACACGAAAAGTATGCATCCTATGCTATTTATTCACGTGCTAGTCGTGAACAATTCGAAGTTATTCATGGATCGTGTCGACCTCCCGCGAGATCTCTCGTACCCTACTTTTGGAGTGTATTTTGGCTCGCATGAATCAGATCCATACCAAGAACATCTTCGAGAGGGAGTGAGGAAGGCTTACTGGCATGCATTCATGCATGATTCTCATATTAATTAAGATATTGGCCTTTATCCCTTGATCTTCTTTTATTCACGCTCAGCACCTTCTTCGCTGTAGCCCTAAAAGGACACTTGGAGCTCACAAACCCACTGATTAACTGAAGATACGTCTTCAACTCGTGACACGTGGCGAGATCAATGCTGCCGAGGTACGGGCACTCCCTACTACTCAGCCTCAACTCCCGTCCCACGTCAGTGTATGTCGACGACGTGCACTCCATGCGTTCCCGGAACAACCACAGGAGCCTCACGACGTCATCTTTTAGTCCCGGCACCTTGGTGACGAGGTCGTCCGAGTTCACGATGCGAAGAACGTTCGCCTTGCTCTTCTCCAAGAAGCGTCTAAAGGTTCGGTTCCCGACGCGGGGCCCGCCGAACGATATGACAGTCACCATTGGAGCATTGGAAAAGTTGGATCTTATGTCATATGCGCTGAGAATGGCCAGTGCCGCACCGAGGCTATGGCCTGTGATCGTCAAGCTAAGGGGCTTGTCGCTGTACATTTTGATGATCCTGGCAACTTCTTCTCTTACTATGTCCTGAAATTAGGAATGACCATTTCGATATCATGTATCAACACATTGATGTTGTCGTCATTCCTTTAATAGTAAAATATTTTGAGATTCATTTTCGGAAGTACGTTGAACAAATAGTTACTGATAACAAATAAATTTGAGCTTTTGCTCAATTCAAAGCTGGTAAAAGATCAGTATAGTATCTTGCGATAGTAGTACCAACAAGATGACATTTTGTGAGGAAGTCATCACTTGTTCACGTCCCATGATGCGCTCGATTATAGTCTACGATAGCGTCGTTTGTGAGGACTCGATCGTGCCTACTAGAATTCATGGATTTTTTCTGTGAATTCTGTGTTATCAACTATTCTTGAAGATTTTTCGCTAAAGAAGACACTACGACTAGAATATAGATCTGTACGGGACTGTGCTATCGAGCACTTATGTGCTCATAGTGCGACCTTTTTTCCTTACCTGTAAGCTCATTTTAGAGGCTGTTTTTGATGTGTATAAGCTTAAGAACCCACTTCCCACCATAGGTCCCTCCTCTCTGCCGTTGCCGCCGCCACCGCCCACACAAGTCAAGTTGGCATGTAGGTTTTCGATCCACTCCAAGCACGTGCCGGTCCCTCGAAACGCGATCACCACGTCCCTCCTCCCCAGCCTCGAAATCTCCCTCCCGTCGTGGCACACCGCTACATAGCCGATCCAGCTCGACCGCGTGCCCATCCAACTAGGGACATTAGATGCCCAATGCGGCATCTGGACCCCGCACGTGGCGCGCAGATAACGCGTCACCTGGTATCCAGTCTCCTGGATCCCGGCACGGGCCAGGAGCGAGCTCCTGGGGTGCTTGCAAGTGGCATAGGTAGGAGAGGAAGGGTTGAAATCGAACGAGCGGTACGTGGCTTCGACGAACTCTCCATAACGGAGTATTTCACGGCGTAGGTTGTCGTCGAGAGGGTCGAGCAGGCCTTCCCAATTGTTGATCCCTTGGTACTCCATCCATTTCTTTTTGCAAATTGCGATGCGCTTGGCAGCGATGGTGGTGCGGCCCGTCTCACGGTGCTTGAGTCGGCGGAAGTATGAGTATGGATAGGTGGGTTTGACGACCGAGTTGATAGATGTGGTGGGAGACTTGAAGAGAGGGGCGAGGTGCTTGTTAGGTGATGGAATGGCAATTCTCATTGTTGGACAACCCAAGAGCTACAGGCTTTGCCACAAGTGTTGGCATCCTGACGAGGCTCTAGGGTTGAATCTTCTATAAGTATGGTTGAGGGAAGAAATAAATGTGTGTATGCATGCATTGGACTATTGATGCGATGTGACAAGACGCAAACTTAATTGCTTCTTAGTCGGACCAAAACATGGATCCAACATTTTTTAATTTGTGATGATTGGTCGTGAGCTCGTAGTGGAAGTAGTTCATCCACCATCTCTGGTTTTGTGCTAATATTATAACTAACAAAAGGAAAGAATGTAAACTGTTTATTTCAAGAAATATCTTATATTTTAACACTCTCATTCACATTCAATGATGAAGGGCGTGAAAGAATTGTCAAGACCCATCAGACAATGAAAAGGAAACCCACAATGAGAGAAAGCTCCGGTACTATGTTTCATTGCGCAACCGTTTATTCAAAAAGGTTAATCTGTTAGAGCACAGTATGGAACATATTTTATATCTTAGTAGTGCTCCTTGAATGTGACAATATTGTCATCTTCTCAAATCTAATTAAATTTCATACTTAACTATGGTCTTCTAAGTTTATCGTCAGGTTTAATCTTTAGTCGGAAAAAAAGTCGAAAGTAAGAACTCAACCTAAGTCTCATCCAAATAATTAAAAAAACGTGTTTCTTTCCTTTCAATTGCAACAAAACTCAAACGAAGATTTGGAGATAGAAAACGTGAATTCCATCTCTTTGACATGTCAAATTAGCTGCAAAACATTAACAAATCCACGGGGCCATCACAAAATTTTCCAGCATGTTTTCGTAGAAAACTACGGTTTACATTTTATATCGAAAATGCGCGGCATGATAAAAAAGACCATGAATGAATGAATAAACATTTGGGGGTAATTGCGAAGCTTGAAACAATAGGGGAACATCAAAGTAAATTTAGGGAGGATATTAATATTTCTTCTTATATATTCTTCTAATTTCAATTTGTGTGCATCAAATAATTGTGCACAAACAATTGTGGGAGGGAGGGTCGAGCAAATGGACATGGTCTGACCAATTAGAATGCCGTCTGTTGCCCTAGGCTGTAATGGGATGGTTGAAAGAAAGAGGGAAAAGTTGGAGGCATACAATGGGTAATGATTGTCCTTCTCTCTTTCTTTCTTTTTTTGTCTTTTTTTCAACTCATAAAAAATAATAAGAGTGCGTTTGGCAATCATTCTGTTCCCGAAAACTGATTCTGCTCAGAAATGATTCTTTTTGATTCCGTGTTCAGGAACAATTTCTAAGCATTTGAAGGAGTTTGGTAACTGCCTAAAATTTCTATTCTTGGAATAGAACAAGAACAGAAATGCGTTTGGTAATTGCATAAAATTTCTTTTTATTAATAATATTTTGAATTTTTTAATATTTCTTTTTTTTTCTTTCCCTTCCTTGGCAATGGCCAGGTCGCTGGCGCCGGCGACTGGCCACAGGCTAAGGCCGGCGAGGGCTGGACCCTCACCACTTGGGCGAAGGCCGCCCTCGCCAGATTTGGCGAGGGCTGGACCCTGGCGAGGGCTGCGGCGAGGTTGTTGGTTGCCATATGAAGGAAACGGATTTTTGTTCTAAAACTCATTCTGGGAACAAAAGAATGAAAATTGTTACTGTTTGGCAACTTGCCAAACGCACCCTAATTCGTCCTTTCATCCTTTTTCGACTCGTAAAATAAATGATTACCCTTCTATTACCTTCTTGACGAATATTTTACGTGTCATTCTACGATATATCAATCCTTTCTGATCATTTATATGATGAGCAATTGTTGAAATTTGTGATCATGGAAATGACGAAGTGAATACGCAAACATAACTTTATGTTTTGAATGTTCGCCAAAAAGAAAAAAATTCATGCTTTGAACGAAAAAGACATTTACTCTTATCGCTTAAAAGATCCCTAATATTCTCTGTAGGGAGAGAAAAAAAAAAGGAATTGACCCCAAAATGCTCAAATCTTTATCTTTCAAAGTGGCAAAAAGTTGGGTATTCTGGAGTCCGCTCAAATACATACAGGCACTTGATCAATCTATGATCAAAATGATCCATCACTTATTCATTCTTGGGAACGACCATCCCCTCTTTGAATTTGGAGGGTGTTGCACAAGTCCTTGCTTGAGTCCAATCGCGACATTGATGGGTCTCGTACAATAAATATCAATATTAGCTAGAGTTGCAAGAATTTTTGTGCATATATATAATATTAACAGATCGGGTTCAGTGGAGAAAGATCTTTTCAACAAATGAAACCACTCTAAATGTTGGCACATTGTTACACTCTTCCCCAACTTTAATATGGCTATTTCAGATCCTCGTCTGTTTAATGCCTCACTTAAGCCCCTCGGACTCCAAACTTTGTGGTAGCAACTCTTCATTACCAAATAGTGTATCGAGACCACAAACTATGCTCTGGACCTTATCCTACTGAGCGTAGCAGAAGATGCTCTGCTAATTTCCATTGACAACACATAGACTCCTTCCGGTGTCCATGTTCCTAGACAAATCCCTCGTTCAGAGTTAGTCAAACTTTTCCCAGACACCTGGGTGACTAACCATGAGAAACTTTATCAAAACTCCCGGCCAATTCAAGCTACCGAATCTAAATTCACCAAAAAGAAAGATGGCTCGGTAGTCATCAAATTTGACCACACTAGTACGTAGCAAACCCATAAAAGTACAATTCTTTCCTTGATGCTATGTTACTACTCGAATTCACGGCTCCTCATCTCCCGACCGAGACATTATAGTCGGATGGGATCTTCTTAGTAAACTCCTTGAGCTTAGAATCTTTCCCAATGGCCTTCGATTCAAGGGACACTTCAAAGAATTTGTGGATACCAAAAGACTTTACCCGTCCCCGGAGAATGGTGGCGGATCCTCGGTTACCAAAAAAAAAAAAAAAGACTTCACCTCATAAAGCTAGAAAGTCTAGACCCAATCCTCCATAGCCTCCTGGACTCTTGTGCCAAGACGCATGCTGAATTCCTCCGGAAATGTTCCAAACCGCTATGGATGAATGAAGAATTCTTCATCCACTAACCTTTAAAAAAGAATGAGGGTATCAATCCTACAAAGGCGAGCCATTCATGGATGAATGCACAAAATCTCCAGTTGGCCCAGAAGGAGTGTGATGAATTAGTCTAGTAAGTACTAATTGAACCTCCGAACTCTTAATGGGCGTGTGAAGCCTTTTGTGTTGAGAAAAGAGCTAAACAAGTTCGAGGAAAGAGGAGATTGGTAATCAACTACCAACCTCTTAATCAGTTCCTCTAAAATGACAAGTTTCCGTTACCCAACAGAAAGACCTTATTTTTTAGTCTTTCTCATGCCAAGATCTATTCCAAGTTTGATCTAAAGGCAGGATTTTGGCAACTAGGGAATCTGTATCCCCAACAAACATTTTTAATGGAATGTTCTGCCTTTTGGCCTCAAGGCAGCACCTTCATTGTTCCAAAATGCCATGTGCAAGATATTCCATCCAATTAGTGCTAATGCCCAGATATACATCTACGATATTCTCCTTTATAGTCCCGAAGAGGAATCCTACTGCAAACTGCTTCAACAATTTGCAGATCTAGACAAGCAATATGACATTATGCTGTTACAAAAGAAAATAGTTATTGCCCATCAGGAAATCGAATTTCTGGGAATGCACTTGAAGGATGGAGCATTCCATCCTAGTGATCATATTGCCAAAGAATTTCTCAAATTCCCAGATGACTATCTTTCTCACAAGCAGATCTAGTAGTTCCTTGGTAATGATGACCTTGTATCTTGTTTACATAATTGAGCAATACCCTTTTTCGCAATTTGGGTTCTTTTGTACCCATTTAAAGATAGGCTTGATTTCGCATGTATGCTTGCCATGTGTTTTTTTTTGTTTTTTGTTTTTGTAAAGTATAATATAGTTTATGATCCATTAAAACCTCGATTTTTAACGTTGCCAATGCAATATCTCATATGGGTAGTACATAATGTATAACATAGTGCCTCTAAATAACTAGAGAAAATGCCAATTCAGTTCTAAACTTTTTAATTTTGTCAATTTAATTTTAAACCATTAAGTAAATTTTCAATGTAGTTATTCCGACCAATTTTCGCCAAAAATTGCTGATGTGGCGGCACGCCGTGTAGGACGATCGGCAATGATTGGACCGTCACATTGGCGATCTCTAATGAAAATTGGCCAGAAAAACTACATTGGGCTACGTTCAGCAGATGACTCCACTATAATAACACCTCTCTCCTCTCTGTTACATCTTTCAATTACAATAGAAAGAGATTATATATAGGCAATAGTTTGATTCAAAATAGGAAACCCCTTTTTAGGAAACCTACTCTAAGTAGGAAACCTACTTCAATTAGGAAACCATTCAATTAGGAAATCTATTCAATATAGGAAACCTAATTGAATTAGGAAACTTTCCTTTTTCAAGCTCAAACTATAAAAGCCCTCTAGCGGCTCAAAACCGTTGCTCCTTCGACCCTTGCCCGCTCATCGGGGAGTGGGCCCCCGTGCCTACCTGTCAATGGGGAGTATGAACCACACTCCAACGTGGCATATGCATACACGATGTATCCAGCATCCAAGTACGATTTGACCGTCGAATTTGGTGGGTCCCTTTAGATTTTGGGTTTACAATATGTCCAAATTAAGTTGTCGATTCAAAATGATTTAGAGTACTGTACACACTGAGAAACCAAATTAAGGGAAGGGTGATTTCAACATAATATATAATTTTAATGCGGGAACGAAATTGGATTAGGATCATCAAGTTTGATGATTTTTACAAGCTAAGCCTCGACAATTGAGGTCCTGATTTTGGTCCATGACCATTTTTGTTTGCACCAAACATGAGTCATAGTTTTAGAATACACGAAAGCTTATAATGTGAATGCTGATCATTTCTTTATATTTAGACCCTTTGATTATTTATGACATTCACTGTGGACACTCTTCGATTTATTTAATACTAAAACATATGACCAAAAATGTATTGAGCAAAATTGATAAAGTAAGCCTCTAGAAGCACAATTTGTTCCGCAAGTGTTGTCCATCGTGCACTTCAACAAATACGTGCGATCGCAAATATGAAAGCTAGAGCAACGATTCACTTCGGCCACAAAACTGGACTTTTGCTTCTTCTAATCCATGTCAATTCGGCATTATTACCTCATTATAAGTCAAGCATGTTGTAGCGACAGCTTATTCAAGTAAAACATGCAGAAATGGCGTCCTTCCTATAATCTTCGTGGCATTCTAATCGCATCATTTGCGTGCAAGTTACGTATTGTCTCAATTTTATGAATCATCTAAGAGGGTTAATTCATTGCCTATTGTCATGATCGGAACATAAAACCAAGTCGCCACGACTCTTAAATTGAGTTTGGCGTTCGTGTGATAACGAGTGTCGATTTGGTATAATTACGTCATTACTAGTTAAGCATGTTATAGTTATAGCATTTTCAAGTTATACATGCTGAAATGATGTCCTTCATATATGTTCTTTGTGGCATTCTAATTGCATCTTTTGCGTTCAAGCTTCGTATCAGCTCAATTTTATGAATCGTCTGAGAGAGTTAATTCATCGCCTATCGCCATCATTGGAATAGAAAACCAGGTCAGTGCGACTGTTAGATCTACTTCGGCGATTTGTCTAAATCTTGCGAGTAAAATCGGTACCCTTGATTGACCTGAACCGAAAAGTTTTGAACACTTGCACTTAAGTCGCATCCCACACCATTACATCTCATTATTTGGCTAATTACCTCTTCATCACGACATGCAAGAGGAATTTACTATATGGGTATTCAAATCTCACCATCTCCTAAACATTTGCACTTTCTTCCGAGTCTTCCATAATGTTCTTTTCGTAGAACATAGCTCTTTGATCAACCCCATGAACTCGACTCGATGCATCGAACGTGGTTGGAATTGTTTTTTCCTTTCTGCTTTCTGTCGTGATGGAATCGAGTATAGAGGTGTAAGTCAAGTCAAAGTAAACGGTGACAAGATTGATTGGATTGAATTGGATTCCTTTTTCACGTCGTGCAAGAAATTCTCCAATCATTAGGGTTAGTTAAAGAAGCACTTACGTGAATTTTCCCGCCCATCATGAAGGAAAGAAAGAAAATTGACGTTGACATATTCTTGGCTAAGGAAAGCCAGGTGCTTTTCTTTTCTTCTACGCTTATTACACTTTAATCGCAATCATAGTACCAATGTCTTAGGACTTTGGATGTGCACACATACGCCTTGTCTTTCGTCCATTAACTTAACTAGGGAGAATCATTTTGCATTTGCCGTTTTGGATCGATACTATGTATGTCATTATGTACTCTTTCGGTTTCAATGTCCTTATTGCCATGTTATCACACATCTTGGTTCCTCTACATTGCCGATATCGCACTCGATGTCGTTTGCAATCTGCATTTGATTGTTGCACCCATGGTATCGCACTCAACATTATTTGCGATGCGCACTTTATCGTTGAGGGAACGGACATTCGGGGAAAAATACCAACTTTTGACTGGAGGAGGTTCGTGGTCGATTGCGATGTTGTGATGCTGGCGGGGTTGTCGACTGTGATGGTTGAAAGGCTAAGCATGAGAAGAGAAGAGGATGAAATGAAAGAGGCTTATATGGAACATTGAGAAGAGTAGGCAAAGTTTGGTACAACATTAATCATAAGGTTTATCTCAATGATTGCCGTGTGGAAACATACGTGGCATAATTTTTTCACGTAACTCACAACAACCGTTGAACCTTAACTTATTGAGTTCACACTTGAAAAAATGGAAAAAGAGAAAGTATCGTCAAATATTTTTCTAAATATTATGTCTTACTTTAGAATAATTTCCTAATAATTATATTCATGAATTATACATCGTTATTCAAGGCCAATTAGTAACAAAGATCCTCATTTTTGTCCTCCTTTCTATTTTATCTACGCCATTTTAAGTTATCAAAATAAACCCTCACCTTTCAAATTCATACTTTGGATTACCTTTCTGCCCTATTTATACAATAAGATTGAAGGCACATTTTATCTCGATGAATCCCAACTTGACAGTCCATAAGCAACCAAAGCAGGGGCCTAGGTGGGAATAGTGAAAGGAAGAGAAGGGTGGCTGGTACGACATCTAGGGAAAATGACGACCCGTCTGATTTGGACCAAGAGCAACTTGATTAGGGTTGGAGACTCTTCCCTCGTCTCATTAGGAACCTCCGATAACTAGCACAAGCAAGTATGGATAATACGCTAATAGCGTCTCTCAATTGGAAAAATTCGGCTTTCTGTCATTGTATTTTCACCACCATTTCCAATTACAACTTTGTATTTTTAACTTGTCAAATCAAGTCTTTCTAGTTTTACACATTTTCTAATAAAGTTCCTCCGACAACATATTCGGCAAAATTCAGCTGAAGTGGCGGTTGGACGACATTGATATAAATTTTCTAATGTGGACATCCACATAGTCGTCCACATTGGCTAAATTTTACTAACATTACTCCGACTTTGTTTACATTGCTAAATTTTTTCCAACCATATCCATGTGTATCTGCATATTTTATCGACATTATACTTAGAGTCCTGCAACGGCTAGGTCAGTTGAACTCGGTTGGATTTGTTGTTGGAGGGATGTGCTGGGAAATTTGTAAAACTAGATTGGCTTTTTTTTATTTGACAGATCAAAAGTACATGGATTTTATTAGAAAAAAAAACGTGAAAGTATGTAGAGGAAGAGCTGAATTTTTCCCTCTCAATTTTCAAGCCCTAACAACTCGTCATAGTAGAAAGGTAGACATAGGGATGCGATGCGAGTGACTGTCACCGGTTTATATTCCAAAATGATAACTCCCGGTGCACAAATTCCCGAGGCTTGAAATTTGATCAATCCACTTCCCGAGTCGTCTGACAACCTTCACACCGCAGACAAGAAAGTTACGTTGGAGTTGTATATTGAAAACCTTCTGATACTTAAGCCATTGTGTATTATGTATCTGATGATGCCAACATATTTGTGCGTTCCGCCGCGAAGTATTGTCTGCTCTGGCTTAGGCATCAAACTTTTTGTCCATCCTTGTGAGTGAAGGGGTGAGCCCAGCTTACAAGCTGACAATCATCTTTGTCTCTCAATCAATGTGGTGAGGGACCAAGCAAACCAAACCCTTATACATGCATACATATAGTACACATGGTTGATCTGATTTGGGCCAGAAAACTGCGTGCCATGGCTCATAAAAGGTGCTGACATATACAAAGCTATGGGCTCATTATGTACTAGGTAGATCTTTCATCTGGGCTTTTGTCCTTACATAGGTTTTTTTTAGGGCAATAAATAGATTAAATAAATCGCATCTTCCCTATGGGTCCACTGTCGGTGCAAAAGTTTCTTTTACACAATCACTGTTGGATGAGTTAGACGTGGGTGAATCCTTATACATAGCAATCTCTAAGTACGCATGTCACCCGCTCAACTACGAATATGTGAAAAGCTTTTTACATTGGCAGAGGACGTAATAACGGTCCTATTAGGATATGTGAACACGAACCTTCAAGCTTAAGCTCGATTAACTCAGCGGATACATGTCATGCAAACCGTCATGTTCATGTGCATTGAGTAAGACTTCACTTATAGTTAGCCGTATCAATAAGATGAAGCGTTTGATAATCAATCAGCCCACGCTCCAATAACGATTAATGATTGATAAACTTTATATTGAAAATATATTCGTTTTCCCCTGCTCATTGCATCCCAAAATATTAGGTACTAATACGTCCAAAAGCAAATGCAATAGCTAGTGTTGTCTTGAAGTATTAAGATTTTTCATATCTTGTCTCCTGTTCCTGTGATGGCTGGAGAACGCCCAAAAAAAATATTAGAAAATTTCTAAACCTAGCTACAACATTAGTCCATTTTTCTAATCTCATCGTGTTGGTACATTCTAGCTTCCATGACAGATATCTTGTAAAGCCTATGTTTGATATTTTCTTTCTCTTTCTTTTCTTAGGTTGGACACGGAGTGTCATTTTCTAGACGCTCAAATTTTTGGATTGAATTATTTATCATGATATCTGCACAAAGAATCTCGGAGCACCTTTTTACTTATTTTTTTTTATAAGTATCTATGGAGTACACCTTAAATATGAAAGTGTACTACACTCCTTCTGCGTAGGTAGTGTCAGAACCGAATCGAAAAATCGAATCGAGATACGAACCGAACCGAACCGAACCGAAAATTTGGTGCATTTCGGTTCGATTCGATTTTCAGTTCGGATAACCATTCTTTTTTATTTCAGTTCGGTTCGATTCGGTTACGATAGAATCGAACTGAAAAAATAACTCTGCTTTTTACCCTAAAAGAGCAATCCCCTCTCTCTCTCTCTCTCGGGCTCAAATCCCCTCTCCATCGTCAGGTTCACAGCGGTCAGGTTGCCGCTCAGCCTCGGCGCCGCCGCGATCCTCGCTGGCACCACCTCCACCGTCACGTTCACACGCCGCATCCGCCGCGCCGCCGCCCTCCCCGCCGGGATCCTGCCCTCGCCGATGACCTCGCCAACGTACGATATCTCCGTCACGGAGCCACCGTACCGGAAGGACGCGACGTTGGGGTTCTCGTCGGAGACGTCAGCGACGGCGGTGATGTTGGTGCCGGCGAGCGCCGTCCCGTTCGAGACCAGCTGGGCGAGCTGGGGGATCTGGACTCGGTTCATTTGTACGATCGGGTCCCTGACGTGGAAGACGGTGAAGACGAGGGCGAGGGCGACGACGGCGATGATGAGGAAGAGCGCGGCGGCAATGCCGCGGCACTTGAAGTAGCTTGGCGGGCGGAGTCTGAAGTGGGCCGACAAGGCTTCGTCTTCGTCGCTGTGGACGGTACGCGAGGCGGGCGCGAGATGCCTGGCTTGCTCTTTCTTGGCCATGGACAATGGGAGTGGCTTGGGGGACCTCGTCGTGCGGGAGTTGCCGGCCAGGTGTTTGTGGAAATGCTTGTGTGAAGTGTCTCTGGGCGTGGATATTGTGTGCAAAAAAAAAAAAAAAAGCCGAAAACCGAACCGAACCCAACCGCTTTTTTGGTTCGGTTCATATTCGGTTCGAGCGAGATTCGGTTCGGTTCGGTTCAAGGGTGCACCCCTAACGGTTCAGTTCAGTTTTCTTGAAAAATCGAACCGAACCGAACCGAACCGTTTACACCCCTACTTCTACAAAACCCTAATTATGATAACAATATATTGTTAATTAGCAATAGCAAAATCTAAGTTCTGGAAACCAACAAGGTGTTGATATAGATGATAAGGGAGTTTGCTTTTCTTCTTGCTATCTTGGTTCAGTCTTGTTGGGAGCATTACCAGAGTAAAACGCTAAATGCACCAAACCGATATGGGATAATGCACGCTCAAGATTGCTCTGAGACAAGTATGCTATCCCACAATCACGGCCCTTTGTCCTTAAACATGGGACTGCCTTTTATTGTCCAGACACCACGAATCTATCCCATAAAACTCTTGAATTTAAGAAATTTTCTAACCCATAGGATCTGCAAAGTGTCAAGTGGAGAGCATATTGACATAACAAATTCATCTTAGCAAGCTAATAATGTGGCTCTAAACATACAATTTCCTATATAATCACTCTTGGCACTTGGTGCATATACACTCTTACTCAGATCAACAATATAAGACAATTTATAGTAGCATCATGTTTGATATCGCGAAGAATTCCACCACGGTTAATAATATAATTATAGCTTTCATAATTCCTACTTTGATTATCTAGGTTATACAGTAAATCCTGTTTGATATCGCCGAGGTCCGGTGACCGGCTAGAGGAAGAATGGAAGAAAAAAAAAGGAAAGAGAAAATATAAAAATAAATAAATAAAATTTTTGCAAATTATTAAAATATCATTTAAAAATATCTACATCAGCGCCAGCCGCGTCACGCAAGACAACCGACGTCTATGCTAGCAGTTTCTGGCCAAAATTAATCGGATGGACTGAATTGGCAAAAATGCAAAAGGTTTATGACTCAATTAACCAAATTAAAAATGTTTAAGACTGAATTGACACAATTGCAATAAATTTAGAATTTTTTTGGTAATTCTCCCGTCAAATGGAATTACCTTCTGATAACCAAATCTCGAAATACCACCTTGAAAATTTAAATGCCTGCTCACAATCTAGATCGTAATCCAGCTATATACATGCCTTATTACACGTCAAATCTCCCAAAAAAAAAAACGAAAAAACCAATAAAAAGAAAAAAAAAACAATAATCTTTGGATTATCGATGAAGGGACCGGTGGCTTCTTTACTCAACCCAATCAAGCATTTTCAAAGGGACCTATTCCTGCATATGACCCTTCCAGGAGCGGCATTGACCAAACCCTGCAATGTTCATGCTCTATAAGATTTGTCCAGTCAATCCGTTCATACCCCGGTCCAAAAGGAACATAAATGTGTAGAATCCTATATCGATGTGTATTTTCAATCGCCAGAATTTTGAAGCAGAGATGTTGACGGAAAGGATTATTGGAAGATTTAGCTCTCTACACTGCTATTTTCTAAATTCACGTCAGGGTCCGTTTGTTTGTAAAAAAACTATTTCGAGAGATTGTTTTCTGACTTTCCGATACTTGGATGACGGAAAACATCGATCTGTCTATGGATTGAAAACAACAAGTTTAGATTGAAGGAAAACGATTTTACCTTCTGGCAAGAAGAAAATTACTTTTCCTGAACTGCCAAACAAATGAAAACTAACCGTTTTTCTTGAAAATAATTTTCATGGAAAATAGTGTACTTCGAAATTTTCAGTGAAACAAGTGCGCCGTTAGTTTAAATAAGATTACCCAATGAAAAGTTTGCGTGTCTTGCGTTGAGGAGAAAGAGAATGGGAGGTCCATTTCAAACCCTAGTGAGTGGCGTGATGGAAAAGAGAATAGGAGGTCCATATTAGCTTTAGTGAAGTTACGTTTGATGTCTAAGCTTTGAAGTTTTTGTGATGTGCTGTAGCATAAGTCATGCCGGCTTTATAGTCCGGGCACGGCTTTCTCTTTCTAATCAGATGTATGTTTCACGCACATCCCCCAAAGTCGTGAAAACATCGAAGCACCGACCTCGAAATACTATCCAAATCAAAACTCATCCCTCTCCTACGCGACGTTCCAACCATGTAGTCACTGTAAGACATCAATTCGATCGTACTGGGCATTCAAGAGTCGCATCAAGAGAAGCGGGCTACTAGAAACTTTCGAGGCCCTGAATTATTGTTTCCCTAGAATTCAGCCGAAAACCAAATAGATAACAAGTTCATCGACCTTACAAATTTCGGTATGCACGTCGCGAAGGAGAAGTATGAACATCGACCCTTCTTGTTCCAAAGTCCCCTTGTCACGCCATCTTTCATAATCGTGCCCTCAATTAATACACATATATCTTTAGGGATCCCCGCAGCTACTTAATTACGACAATTATCATTGGAAAATATATGATCTTTGACTTTGGCTTTCCAAGAAGCGTCTGATCATTCCAACTTGGAAAGTCTTGAAGTTTGGTAGGGACTGAGATGACCCCTTCCGGTCATCGATTCTTCTATTTATTTATGAATTGAAATTATTCAATTTTGGGTCATTTCTTCTTCTTTTTGTTCTGAGCCGCAATTCTCTTGCTTTCATTTTCTTCTTAGGTTTTTTTGGTCAATTCTTGCTTTCATTCAGGGAGCAGCTTTTTGGGGGTGGATTTCAAGAAACGTACCGAAAACGACCCGATTTGGATCCAACTGGTCCGGAATTCGCCAAATCGGGTGGGACCCGAGTTGGTATTATTCCCACTTCCATATTTCAATCTGACTTTACGCTTTCTTTTTCAGATGAAATTTGTTTTTTCTTGAATTTCTTGGCCAATGGAAGAAAGAGACATGGTCCAGCTTATAATTTCGGCTCTTAAACATTCTATTTGGCCCGTGCCGACGGCCACCGACCATGACCGACCTTAGCATGGTAGGACGGAGGAGAAGAATCACAAAGGTTGATAAATTTCAATTGCAGAGCTCTTGGCAGCAGTCATGGTCATTAGGTGTACTAAAAAGACTGTAAATTGATCCATCTTTATGATAGCAATAATAACGATAACAAGGGAGAACTGTCTGAAAAGTCCTAAACCTAATGTACTTTTGCAAATTGAGTCATAAACCTTTTAATTATACGAACTTTTTCACATTTTGCCAATTTAGTCTATTAGACCAAAATTGACCGAAAATCACTGACGTAGACGCCGACCGTCCTCGTGGCACGGCCGGGCTGACGTGGACAAATTTTAATAAAATTTTAATATTTTTTCGTTTTTTTCTTTTCTTCTCTTTTCCTTCTTTACTTTTTTCATTTTTTTTTCCTTTTCTCTTTGTTTTTTCTTTTTTCCCTCCATTGGCCATTATAGAACCTTATCGATGGCTAGCGAGGGCTGCCCTCGCTTGAGGTCAGCGGAAGGCCCAGCAATGGCTAGCAGAGGGAAAAAAGAAAAAAAGAAAAAAAACAAGAAGAGAAAGGGGAAAAAAGGGATAAAAGGAAAGAACGAAAAGAGAAGAAAAGAAAAAAAAGGGAAGAATACAAAAATTAATAAAAAAAATTCGAAAAAAAATTACAATATTATTAAAAATTATCCATATCAATGCCCGCCGTGCCACATAAGACTGCCGATGTCCATATCAGCAATTTCCGGCCAAAATTGGCCATATGAACTTAATTGGCAAAATGTGAAAATGCTTATGACTTAATTGGCACAATAAAAAAGTCTAAGACTGAATTGATAAAAATACAATAAATTTAGGATTTTTCAGACAATTTTCTCCGATGATATTGATGTTTGTGATTAGTCGAACGAGATGTTTGTGATTAGTCGAACGAGATGGAGGTAAAAATGAGAGAAGTGGCCGGCGTATGAACAGGACAGTTTGCTGAGGATGAACTTGAACCTCTAGTTGCTTCATGACACTTGTCATCTTATACATTAAAAGCTGGTTACTTTGATTCGAGGATCATCTTCTAGTCAACGAAAGTACTCCCAAGAAGAGAAACCCTAATATACCTGATGTAGCTAGCAAGGATCACCTAGAGGGGGGTGAATATGTGATCTTAAACAATTTTGATAATTTATGCAGAAACAAAACAAATCACAGAAGAGTCTGAATAAAATTCAGATTCAAGACAGATTGTATAGACGGTGCTCTTGATGTGCATTGTACAAAGTGAGAGAAGAGAGATAGAAAAACTGCACACAAATTTATAGTGGTTCGGCTTATAGTAAGCCTACGTCCACTCTCCCACGCTGACAGCCTACCGGCTGGATTTCACTATGTAATCAAGAGGAATTACAACTTCTGAGTGTTAGCACTCTTGTGTATAATAGGACTCTCTATCTCACACGATCACTCTTACAAAGTGTCCCTCAAGATCTTAATGTATGACTCAGAAAGACAAGAGAAATGATTGGAGTATGTTCAGACTTTGGACTTGATGATTCTTGATTCTGTACTCCCTTCTGCTGCTCGTTGATCTCCTTAAATACTCATCTACTTCCAAACTAGTCGTTGGACAGCTTTCAGAGGATCATCTTCCAATCTTCACCTTGGACAGATTTGTATAGAAAGGATTGAGTAGCCGTTGGATGACAGATTCTGAATCCCGCTGATTCTGGTCATCCATACAATCAGAATCTTGATTTCCATAAGTAGAGCTTTATCCGTTGTAATGCATGCTTGTCGTAGTGTTTGATTGTCAATCAATTATAGCCTTAGATTGAAACAATCAAAACTTTCCTTATGTGAAATCCATACCAGATCACTAGCTGTTATGTCTCATTCTGAATTCTGCGTCTGAAGAAATTCTGCGTCTGCATCTGAAGAATTTCAGCGTCTCAATAATTTCA